TAAGGTCAGCGGTTCGAAACTACCAGCCGCTCCGCAGGAGAAAGATAAGGCTTTCTACTCCCGTAAAGATTTACACCCTCGGAAACCCTGTTACAGGGTCGCTATGGGTCGGAACCGACTCGATGGCACTTAACAACATATATATATATACACACACAGACACACAAGTGTATATATCTGTGGTTCTGTGGTTGTTGTTGCTAAGTGCCATCAAGTTGATTCTGACTGTCAGTGACCCTGCATAGTATTTCCAAGGAGTGCCTGATGAGTTTTAATCACTGATGATACAGTTCAAACCAACCTTGTGACCGAGTGCTTATCCTACAGTGGGACACAGGGCTCTATATATTCTGTAACATAGGAGTCCTGGTGTGGCACTATGGATAAGTACTGGACTGCTAATGGCAAGATTGGTGGTTCACACCCACCAGTTGCTCCTTGGAAACGCTGTACAGGGTCACTATTTGTTGGAATAGACTTGATGTCTCTTCACAACAACAGCAACTACACATATTTTATCTATATACTTTTCTCCTTAACTAACATTCTTAAAATACTTGTTTAAACCTTTAAATAAAGCTAAATCTATTTCAGATTAAAAGGAAAAAATTAATGTAATAACCATAATTTTCCTTTATTACCCTTAAAATGTAAAAATCTCTATGTGTAGTTATTATCTTTTGACAGTCTGATCTTAACTAACACCAATGAGACCACTAATTCTAGGAAAATCAATAGCATTTAGTAAGAAAGTAAGTCTTTGAAAGTGATATTCATTAATTTTTCACTGTAAAAATCCTTTTACTTTTTCAACATTTTTGTTCTTATAAAACATTTTTTTTTCCTTTCAAAAAAAGTTGCCCCTCATCCTCTGATCAGGAGTAAGATGCTCTAATAAGATTAATGAGGGAACAATGATATGGGGATCTTGAGGTAGATTGTGTGCTTGTGGGGTTCCTATAATGCCATTTAACAGAAGTCTACTAATTTTCCAGAAATTGAGTGGCTCTTGAGTTTCTGATGTTATGTGTCAGAAGGAACCAAATATAGCCACCCAGAGTTTTTGATACATTTTGGTAAATACTTGATAACATTACAAGAAGCATAGATTTTTCACTGTAAAACTCTGTTATATAGTGGAAGCAGAGGACAAGAAATAAAGAGATTTGCAACTTAGCTTTAGCTCTCTACAAGTAACCAGTAAAATTGCATTTTGCCTGATCATGGCTAAAATTTTACGTTCTAAGAAAAAAGAAAGAGCATAAGGCTTCAAATCATACTTGTATATGTTGACTTGAGCAAGTTCCAAACTCTCTGTGAGTCTCGGTTTCTTTATAATATAAATGTAAAGAAATCTGGCTTGTTGTGTTGTGAGAAATAAAGAAAAAGAGGTAAAAAAAACAAAACAAAACAAAAAAAAAACTTCTGAAAAGCATCTAACAGCTTGTGTTGTTGTTGTTAAGTATCATGGAGTCAGTTCCAACTCATAGTGACCATACACAGGGTTTCCAAGGCTACAAATCTTTATGGGAGCAGACCGCCTCATCTTCCTCCCATGGAACTGTTGGTAGTTTCAAACTGCCAGGCTTGAGGTTAGCAGCCCGATTTGTAACCACTACACTAGCAGAGCTTGTAGATGCTCAATAAATTAGAGTTCTGGTGTGGTGCTGTCCCATAAACACTGGGTTACTAACCAAAAGGTTAGAGTTTCACACTCATCAGCCTTTCCTTAGAAACTCTATACAGAGTTGCTGTGAGTCAGACAGTACTTAACAACAAAAACAACATTGTTATTATCTCACTACAGTTGTGGCACTGTGGGTTAATACGCTGTACTATAAAGTCGGTTTGAACCACAAGGTTCAAGCTCACCATTCGCTCCTTGGTAATACTATATAGGGTCACTACTGGTTGGAACAGACTTAATGGCACTTAACAACAACAGTTGTTAATTATATGTTCTCTATGAGAGAAGTCTCAATGTGTTTAGTGAACAAAAAACAAAAACAGCAACAATTAAAACCCACTACCATCATCTCAGAAGAAGCTCTGGTAGCGTAGTGATTACCAATCGGGCTGCAAACCTCACGGTCAGCAGTTCAAAACTACCAGCTGTTCCATGGGAGAAAGATGAAGCTTTCTGCTCCCATAAAGATTTACAGCCTTGTAAACCCTGTGTAGGATCACTATGAGTCGGAACCGACTCCACGGCACATCACAACAACATCAACCATTAACTCATAGTGACTCTGTGTAGAGTTTCCAAGGCTATAAATTTTTATGGGAGCATGAAGTTTCATCTTACTACCTTGGAGCAGCTCCAACCTGTGTCCTTTTGGTTAGCAGCCAAGTGCTTAACCAAGCACCACTAGTGCTTCTGTAACGAAGTGAGATAAGTATGTATAAAGCACTTTGAGATGAATGAGGCATTATATAAATGTAGGGGGTTGTTACTGAGATGGGCCTGAGGAGGGCTGAATTCCAGATTGGGTTGGATGAGTATCCAGTATGACTCATCTCTTCATGCTCCCTGGCAAGGAATAGATAAGTCTCCCTTTTACTTCGGAAGCGGTAAAAAAGAACTGATTTAGTCTAAGCATTCTACATAGTCACATGCCTTGCAAGTCCCAATCTTTGTTGCCAGGTTCTCTTTGAAAGTAATAGCAAGGTGTCTGGCTTACATTCCAATTGTTAGAGCAGCCAAGTCACTCAAAAATAAATAAATAAATAAAAAGAAAGAAAGAAAAGAGAAAAAAGGAAACAGATAAACAAAAAAAAAAACAAAACACCAACTTTCTCCAGTAGTACACAGAGAAGCAGCGTTTCGTCTCTCTCCTGTATTTCATTTTAATCTTTTGTAATGTGTGTTTCCAGATTCCAGAAATGTAAACAAAACATGTTTGTTCTGTAATTCTATTATCTAGTGCAAATTGGAAAAAAGAAACACAATGTTTCTTAATCTTTTAAAATTTTCTTTTTACAAATAGCTTACTTCCAAATATCAATTTTCCTTGCATACTTTAGATGAGTGGGGTGGAGTAGAAAGGGATTCCTATCAGACTATTACAGATAATGCTTTCTTCTGAGACCCAGCATAATCAGTACAAGAAACAGACAGCTTCTCTGGGGTTTTGTGATCATAATGCTGGGGAATGAAATTTTCAAAGAAACCATAGGCACTGAGTAAGCGGTGGTTGCTGCATTTGGGAGAAAAATTCTTCATAGGAATCAAAGTCCATCAAAGATGATTCTTTTTCTTTTTTGATTCTGGGGAATGAATTTTTCTCAAGAATATAGATAATCAAGTTGCTTGACTGTTTTATCATGGTATGAATTGTCCAAAACAATTGCTGGAAACACAACTTTAAAATGTTAAATGAAATTTGGCCCTAGTTAAATATGTAGATTTGGATATTTAGCATCATATTTTCCTTATAAGTTATCTTTTATATATTCTGTACAGTCTTGAATTAGTGTGCTAATTTCCCCTGTGTAGTTTCACAAGAAAATACGTTCATCACTAACCATATTTTGTAGCGTATTAATACCATCAGCACAGTCCCATTTTCCAGTGAACTAATTTCAGTACTACAAGATACGTAGGGGAATTCATTAAGCTTAGGTAAATATTAAATACCATTTAAGAGAGAGAAAGAGGAAGAGATAGCAAAGACAGTGATGCTAGCCTTAAGTTCCTTTGAAAAGTCTATGACTGCATATGACTTGTTCAGTACATTAAGCAGATGCTGGTTCATCTGTAATGCGTATGTTGGTTTTCTAACACAATTTTGCAGTAGGAAGTAAGTGAGTATATGCAAGTATGAATATCCCATGTATAAATATCGGGGATGCTATTAAGACTGTATTTGTGAAATTCAATGTTAACATTGAACAGAAAGATTTATAAATGGTTTTAGTGTTTTTAAACTTTGGTGAAATAGTTAAGAATATAGTAAAGCAGTAAGAAAAATAGCACCTGAGATTTTGGAGGGATTTTTTTTTTTTTTTTTAGGTTACTTCATTTTTTAAATGAAGCAAGTTGATTATCCATTTAGTCTAGAATTTTATTGAGTCTAGTAACCAAACACTGATTATAAGTTTTTCTTCTCTAAGGAACCAACTCTATGGCACACTTTGTTTCTTTTATGTGTCATTCTGAGCTCTTTCATAAGGAATTATTTTAAAATTTATACAACTTTTTCTAAAAAATAAGTTATAGCTTAACATTTTAGCTTATAAAAGGATCACACTATTATATTTCTTCTACTCTGAGACATGGAAAGATTGAGGGTTTTTTTTAATGGAAAATAAAATTTAAAGGGGATTTTAAAGAAAAGATTTTATAAAATTGTATTTGCTCCCTCTGTTTTTTTTCCCTCTGATGTATAAGATTATATGAAATAATGAGAAAAAATACAAAATAAAAATAAACTTCCTTTTTTCTTTTTCTTTCAGCTTTCTGGAGAAGTGATTTTGCAAATTGCCAACGAACCAGTTCTGCCTTTTAATGCTCTCGATATAGCTTTAGAGGTTCAAAGCAGTCTTAAAGGTAATTTTTCTTTGAATTATAATAATTTTAGGAAATGGAATGATTGTTAAACTATTTTTCAAATTAATTTTCAATAATAAATAAAGTCATAAACTATCTTACTAGTCTGGAAATACAGTGCCAAACATTAACTAAAGGGTTTTCATGAGAAGGACCTGGAAAAATTCTAGCTGCATGTCAACAGAAATGACATATGCTTCTGTATGAGTATGAGACAAAATATCAAACTTATTAGATAGTCCACCTCTTCTCCTTTATCATAGACTTAATGCCAAGCTTCTGTTATTATGAACAGGTTTCAGAGGCAATAATATAGTTCAGATTTGTTGCCCTTTTACTTTTTAGTTACATGGTTTCTCCAGAAGTTCATCCTTTGGGGTTGGTTTCCTAAGGGACATGAGCCTTGCTATTTGATCAAAAGATGATGGCTTAGGCCCTAGGTCAAGGATAACAAGAAGGAAGCTAGGGGAACTGTTTCCATAGTCTCTGTTTCAGTTTAGATAAATCTTTCTCTGCAGAATCCAGACCCTGCCCTAACAATTAACTTCATTTCTCTTTTATCTATACACAGATCTTTCAATTAGGCTGCTAATTTGTCTTCATTAACCAAATACAAAGGACAGTAGTATTGTAATTAAAGAATTCACCATCCTTCTCTTTGAGACACACATCTTCCTATCAGATCTTTAATGAGTCATTTGTAGACATGTACTTTTCAATACAAAAGCCAATAATTTAAATATTGTACTTAAGCAACAGTACTTGGAAAATTGTTAATTCTAAAGCGCTAGATATTTATAGTAGCTGAAATTTTAATAATTTTTTTTCCCCTTTCACTAGCTGGATTGCTTTTTGTCCAGAGAATATGCCAACATATTTACTACAGTATTATTTGTTATCTTTGTTGTGGTAGCTCTAAAACCATGATCTCAGGAGCAATTGAATATTTAACACTATTGCTTCTACTCTAAAAGGCTTCAAATTACTCTACTTTTTCTATATTTATGTTAGTTTCTGTATAGTTTTCTATTTTTTTCTGCTGTTGTCAAGCTTACCTATAATTTCACTGTTGTCAGTGTGGCTAGCTAGAGTGATTACTCTTTCCCCCTCTTCTACTTTGCAAATCAAAACCACAATGAGATACCATTTCTCTCACACTAGGCTGTCTAAGATTTTAAAGGAAAAAAACAGAAAATTAAAAAAAAAAAAAAAAAAAAGTGTTAGTGCTGTAACAGTAATGGAAAGCAGTGTGGCAGTTCCCACAAAAAATTAAAAGTAGCAATACCATAGTACCTAGCAATCTCACTTCTAGAAATATACTTAAGAAACTTAAAAACAGATTCAAACAAATACTTGTACATCAGCGTTCACTGTAGCACCATTCACTATAGTAAAAAAGAAGAAACCACCTAAATGTCCATCAGTAGATGAATGGATAAAGTGTGCCACAAAGATATAATGGAATATATCAATCATACGACTGAGTCCGTATGAAAAACAAAGACTTGATACATGCTACAATATGGATGGGGCTTGAAGACATGTACTGAGTTAATTAAGTCAGTTATATAAGGACAGATATTAAAAGACCTCACTTCTGTAAAAAATACAAGAACAGGCAAGTGTATAGAGACCAAAGGTTATTAGTGTTTACTAGGAGTGGGAAGAAGGGTTAAAGGTGACAGATAATTAACATTGGTTAGAGGTAGCCTAACACAGTCCATTTTCATCATTGTTGTTAAGTTGTACACCTGTAAAAAAGATGAATTGGCAAAAGGTGTGTGGTAGATAATATTTACAACAACACAAAAGAAGAGCTGCTGATGCTGCTAAGTGCAACCAAAGAATTTATGAGTTTTGACTCCTTTGCATGGACGTTTAGGGTCATAATTTCATGGCATATCCCAGTTAGTTCTACCTTCTAGCTCATTGCATAGCACTTGGCGTCTTAAAAGCTATTAAAGGGCCATCCAAGCCATGACAATTGGGCTATATTTGCCTGAAGCAACAAAAGAAGGGAAGTCATGTACAGGAGGAGAATATGGACTGCGTGACTAATTGCCTCCATGAACATTTGAACATCCTTGCAATCAATGCAAAAGAAGCTTCAAGTGTCTGAGTGGCACTGCAGAATAAAGTACTGGACTGCAAAGTCAGTTAGAAAGACAAGTTCTGCAGTTCAAATCCATCAGCCGCTTCTCGGAAACCCTATACAGGGTCATTATAGGTCGGAACTGATGCAGAGGCTCTTAACAGCAAAAACAAATTATTACTGAACATTCTGATCAAAGATTTTATAGAAGACTTTTGATTGGAAAGGAGAAACTGCAGTATTTCTGAAGCCCTGAAAGCTGAATACACCATCAAAGCTATTTCCCTGAGACAATCTTCAAATTCTAAATCAAAAATATCCCCTAAAGTATTCTTAAAACCGAAGAGTTTTCTAGCTTAACTTTTTTTTTTAATTTTTAATTTAAGGTTTTTATTGTGGATTGAGTGAGAGTTTACAGGGCACATCATCAGTTTCACATTCAACAGTTCATATAACTTGTTTCATTACATTGATTATAATCCCCTCCATATACCAT